AAAAAAAAAAAGAGATGGATGTTTGATACCCCAAAAAAGAAGGGAACACACACAAATGTGATTTAAATCCATTTGAAAACTGACTAGATGGTGTCATAAATAAGAGCTTGGTTGGGCCTCTGGGGTCAAACAGGATTAGGCTTGATTCCCAGCTTCCCCACTTTTTAGTTGTATGACCTTGGGCAAGTAATATATTACCTCTCAACACCTCAATTTTTTCATACACAAAATAGTGAAAATAATTGTATGTCTTTTCCACTTGTCATGAGAATTAAATTGGAGAACAAGAGTAAAGCATTTAGCTTATAAAGTACTCAATAGACCTTACCTAAAAAAGATTATTTTATCTTTTGCCTATCAGTCTAGTAAGAAAGAACCAGGATTGCTATAGCAATGCTTCTAGAGTTTAAGGGTCTTCTGTTTGAGCAAAATAGCATGAGAAAAAAAAAAGAAAAAACAAAAGCATTAGCCAAGATCCACCTTCCATCTGCTTAAGTGAATCTCATGGTGGGTGGTCTGTGCAGAATCAGAAGCAGCCACCTCAGCAATGTTAGTGGATGAAGACTAAACAGAATTGACAGTCTCCCTGGGGGATAGTTTGTTATTATATTTTATCCTTTTGAACACTGAATGTCAAATAACTTTAGGAGCCATTATTTACAGAGAAAACATTCCTGTGTAGAATTACATTAAAGTTTATATTAGCAAATAGTTTAACTATCCATGAACACTTGAGCAGAAATTTGTAAAACCAATAATGAGATAATGATGATTATGAGTTATGTTTATGGAGTACTAACTTTTGTCAGGAATAGGGCTAAATGCTATAGGCATGATCTTATTTAATTCTGGAACTTTTTCTTGTGAGATAGATTCTATTATCCTCATTTTACAAATGAGGACCCTGTGACTTGGAGGAGTTCTAAAAGTGGCTCAAGCCACATGCTAAGAAGGGACAGAGCCTAGTCTTCAACCCTATAGGGCTGACCCTATAACTTGTATTATTTTGCCTCCTCTAAGCAGAAGGGAGAAGTGGGCAGAAAAGGGCTGCAGCAGTGACTCAGAGATTCTGTGTTGGCATTTTGATCAGTTTTCAGAAATAGGATGGAGCTGTGCATAGCCCAAAGCCAACTCTCGTGTTGCAGGCAACTCCAGGGAGTGTCCAGCTTTGGGGACAGGGTCAAGGACTACTGTCCTAGGAAAAAAGGACAGGAAATGTTTTCACAGTGACATGATGGAACGAGAGGTGACTGCAGGATTAATAATAACAATGATAATAATAATAAATAGATAACTCAGCAGTCATCCATTGGGCACTCCTTATATTCCAGACCCTAGAGTACAAAGAGGAGAGAAGCCAAGGCGTTCAGAAGGGGATTGCAATTGATGCAGGAGGAGAGACAAGTGGCATGTGGTTTTGAAGCTCCATGAGTAGTACTGTGATAGCGTTTGTGAGGGCATTGCAGCGGAAGGAACGGTCCAGGGAAGTTGAGGTTTTCTTGGATCCCATAGACCTTGTTCCAGTATCTCCTCTGCCACTTCCTAGCTAGCTCTATGACATTGGGCAGATGGGCTAACCTCTCTGCCCCAATTTCTTCAATTATAAAATGAGGATAAAATTTCTCTTCAATGTTGTGGAAAGTGAAGAAGTGTGCAGGTCAGCAAGTTGGAGCTATTCTTTTTTCTTTCTTTTTTTTTTTTTTTTTAGGAGATTACATCCATAGACTTTTTTTTTTGTTTATTTTTATTTATTTATTTTTGTTTGTTTTTTGTTTAAGGAGACAGAGTTCACTCTGTTGCCTAGGCTGGAGTGCAGTGTCTTGATCTTGGCTCACTGCAGTGCAGTCTTCACCTCCCAGGTTCCAGCGATTCTCCTGCCTCAGCCTCCTAAGCAGCTAAGACTGCAGGCATGCCCCACCATGCCAGGCTAATTTTTGTATTTTTAGTAGAGATGGGGTTTTACCATGTTGGCCAGGCTGGTCTCGAACTCCTGACCTTAGGTGATCCACCTGTCTTGGCCTCCCAAAGTGTTGGGATTACAGGTCTGAGCCACCGGGCCTGGCCAGGTGGAGCTATTCTTATTAGAGTCCTAAGAAAGAGCCATATCTCCTACAGAGATCAGGGTTACCATCACATATTATGGAAGGTGAGTTTTGAGCTGGTTCTTTTTTTTTTAAAGACAGGGTTTCACCATGTTGGCCAGGCTGGTCTTGAACTCCTGACCTCAGGTGATCCGCCCGCCTCGGCCTCCCAAAGTGCTGAGATTACAAGTGTGAGCCACCACGCCCAGCCTGAGCTGGTTCTTAAAAGATTGTGGGAATCTGTCAAGCACACAGCGGACAGAACCAAAAATGATAATAAGGGCCAAGATGTCATAGAATGAAAAGGTATGAAATTGTCAAGAAACTGAGACTTATTCAAGGAACTGTTGAAGAGGCAGGCGTGGGGATTTGAGATGGGCGGTGCAGAAGCTGAGAATGGGAAGTTGAGGCCTGACCATGCCGTGAGGGCTTTGCTTGCCCAGTTTAGAATCCTGGCCTTTGTCCTGAAGAGATGCAAAACCTCTGATGGCTTTAGACATGGAGGGGAGATGGGTCACAGGATCAGACCTAACCAGCCAGAAGACTGCATTGTTGCTGAGATAGTCTAAAAAATTCTAGAGAAGGAAGCTGTCATTTGAGGGAGAAAAAAAGTGCACACTTTTTTTTTCTTTTCTTGTGATGGCTTATAAATAACCAGGCTAGCAGACAACACCACAGAGCTTTCTGTTCCATTTTCTCTGAAGGCTGCCTGCAATGAATTAAGCTGATGTGCTCCAAATTCCAACTCTCTAGGATAAGTGCTTCATCCCCCATCTGGCTGCATCCAGCTCCTGACTGGTCTCAATAAATGTTAAGCAATAATCATTACAGCTAAATGTTCAGGGCTGCTGATGTAAGCATTAGATAGTGGCTGCCCGGAATTTTAACAGCAGCACTGCTAACCCATATTATTTCTACCAAACCCAGGGCAGGAAAGAAGGAAATCCAAAGATAAAGGGACGATCCAAGTTCAAGTCAGTGGGGTAGCGGGATGATTTATCCAATTGCTTTGCCACACTGAACTTTCACATGAAATATTGAGAGCTCAATGTAGAAATATAAGTTTCAACTCTCCTAGACTAACAAAGACGACAACAAAACCCACTTCGGTGTAGTGTAGAAGCCTCAGTGATCTCAAAACAACTATTGTTAAAAATGTTCACAAAAAAGGCTGGGCACAGTGGCTCACACCTGTAATCCCAGCTCTTTGGGAGGCCGAGGTGGGCAGATCAAGAGGTCAAGAGTTCGATACCAGCCTGGCCAACATGGTGAAACCCCATCTCTACCAAAAATACAAAAA